GAAGAGGGTGAAGAGGAGGGGCATGGCCGTCTGCGGGGGAGAGCGGGAGGTGGATGAGGAGGGCAGGGCAGGGAAGAGGATGCATGGATGGATGGATGGATGGATGGATGGAGAGAACAGGGCAGGGCAGGGAAGAGGATGGATGGATGGATGGATGGATGGATGAGGAGGGCAGGGCAGGGAAGAGGATGGATGGAGGGATGGATGGAAGGATGAGGCAGGAGAGGGGGAAATTGTTCAGAATCTCATGCAGGAACAACCCAACCCCACACTGGCCTACAGTGACCTGCCTTTCAACTTTTAAGCCAATGTTATCCCCCTCAGCTGGCAACTGGCATGGACCTGCCTCTCTCTGTCTGGATGAAATCGAACCAAATTGGGTGTCAGGACTCCAGAATTGGTCTGAATTAATCATTAACTCCGAGACAGGCATCATCTTAAGGTTCTTCATTAATACAGAAACTGGCATCAACTGTAGAATTTCAGCACTGAAGACACACCCAAAACTTCACACAAAATCCAACCTACCCACACCCCCTTTTCTACACCTCATAAATCACGTGAACCAATTACTTGTAGCTGAAATTTCTACTGTGCTGCAGAGGTGGCATTCAGCAGGTTCTGACCCGTTCTGGAGAACCGGTAGCGGAAATCTTGAGTAGTTCGGAGAACCGGCAAATACCACCTCTGACTGGAGATTTTATGGTATCCTTCCCCTGCCACGCCCACCCAGCCACGCCCACAGAACAGGGAGTAAAATAATTTCAGTCCCACCTCTGGTGTGCTGCCTGGTGCACCTGACCTACTTATGCGTCCTTAGGGATAACTGGCCCGGTCCAGAGGCGCACTCACCGTGTCCACCCCGCCGGCCGTTAACTCGGTGACGTTGGCCTTGATGGAGTCCAGGGGCAGCTCAGCCTGGACCAGCAACTCCGCCATGATGCCCGAATACTTGCGGGGTTTCCCCAGGCAGAACTCCTGGTAGATGTTCTGGATGCATTTGTCAGCTGGAAGAGACCACATCCCAGCAGGGGAACCACGGTGAGAAGCCCCCGAGACCCAGGCCCTGCCCGATGTGGTGCCCACCATCCACCACCCAGGACACCCAGGGAACCTGGCTGGAAAGGGGGTGCCGTGCAGAACAGAAGCTGGGCCCCAAAGCAGCTTACAGGGAGGAGGGCGAGGGGGCCCCGTACCCCAAACTCTGGATAACCCCCAAGGCCAAGTTCCACATTTTCCCCAGCCAGGAGAAATGCTGGAGCTTCTGAGATACTCAAGGAAACCATCCTAGCACTGATGATGTCACCTAATTTGGGTTATGAAATGTCTGCAAGAAAACCACCCAGCTCAGGGAACACCAAGGACCCCACAGTCCTCCTCTTCTTCCTTCCTTCCTTCCTTTCCACCTCCTCCTCCTCCTCCCTGCAAACCCCACTCCCTGCCAGCAGTGATGACACTACCTAGTTGGGTCATGAAATGTCTGCAAGAAAGACACCAAACTCAGGGAGCACCAAGAACCCTACAGTCCTTCTCCTCACCTTCCTTCTATTATCACCACTACCATTCCTAAAAACCCACTCCTTTCCAGCACTGATGATGTTCCCTAGTTGGGTCATGAAACAACTGCAAGAAAACCACCCAGCTCAGAGAGCATGAAGGACCCCACAGTCTCTCTCCCTTCCTTCCTTCCTTCCTTCCTTCCTTCCTTCCTTCCTTCCTTCCTTCCTTCCTTCCTTCCTTCCTTCCTTCCTTCCTTCCTTCCTTCCTTCCTTTCCTCCTTCTTC